AGAGGCCCCACACCCCTCACACTCTCTCCCCCTTCCTGCTGCAGGGGCAGAGTCTGAGCAAGACCGACTGTCATGTTGATTGGGCACATCTGGATTTTTTTATCACAGTATTCTGACCCCCCCCCCACACTCACACACCCTCCATTTTTCTCCCATGGTGCTCTCGTTTCAACTGACCAAGCATTTAACTTAGTCATGATGGAAGACAAGTTTGTTGTCATATGCATATGGGACTGAACGCAAAAAAAGAAGAATAGAATCAACGTATTATGAACTTTGCAAGAACATTTTTGAAGGTATGGTTATGATTCTTATCATTTGTGACTTTAGTTATGAAATACTGTATGAATCTAGTATACATCTATTTTTTAAGAGCAAAGAAAACATGGGAGAGCTTAGAGACGCTGCCTTTGCCAGTTGCTGGGGAAGTGCTGCCATGGAAACTAAGCAGATTTGGACCTGAGTGTGCTCATGTTCCATTATTTACTGTGTTGATTGTTTTATTTTTAAGTCTGGTTGAGGGCAGGGAATATCTATTTTTTTTAGCAACTCATTGAAATTTGTTTACTGTTCTTTTCAGTGTCTTTGTTTTTTTTTAAGTTTTCAGTACAGTCATATGTCCCTCGCTGTCCTGGTACTGGAAGTGTTTTTTGGACGTATTATACTTTCATTCTTGTGGAATTGTTGGTATAATGATGGTGGTGATTAAATTGGCTCACCTTTTGCTGTTTATGAATTGTATGTTGAATGTGAGCTTTGGGTTTCGTATGGCATTCTGAAGAGAAGACTTGTGACATGAACTCAAGATGAGAGTCCTATAATATGCGAGAATGCTGTGGTCTCTCCTCATTGAACACCTCGAATGCTCTGTGCAAAAAAAAAAAAAAAAAAAAAAAGTAAAAGCCCATTTAACAACACTGCATGCGACTGGGCTCTCATAATCTTGGGATCTTGTAATATGTGAAAATTTTGCCCTCAGTAATGCCTCAAGGCCTGCTGCCCATCATGATTTTTGTTCTGTAGTTTGGGGGTGGGAAGACGATCATGTGAGATATATAGAGGGTAAAACACATTGCACGTATATGGGCACTGTGCGACCACAGCCTGGCTCTGAATCCATCAGTGTTAATCTTCTCCATGGCAACTGTGTGGCTGGTGTAGACCGGTGTGGTTCGTGGTGTGTCTTGCCTCTGCAGTGCAGTAAACCCAGTGCTCTATTCAATCAGTATGCTGTCAAGTCAGACTTTAGATAATGCACATACACATCAGGGTGTTGTGGTCTGTTTTGTTTGAATATCACTGATTGTGTATGTATAAAAAAAAATACAGAATAAAAAATATTCACTCATGTATAAGATGAGGGCTCTAACCTATCACAAAGTAATACCACATTAAAAACCACAACCCCTGGTTGTTTAGCTGCTCTGTAATTGAAAATAAACATGCATATCCTTTGGTCTGCTGCAGAACCTCAGCTAGAGGGCAACGGTGGGTTTCTGAACAGTAAAATCAAAGACTTGTAATATGGTCGCACTATGGTTTTGATGTATCATGAAGCAGTTAAGGCCACCCAAGGACATTCAGGGACGCAGCTGAAACGAAAAGGAAGAGGAGAGCTTCATTATCCGTTTCAGTGATTAAACTCAGAACAAAACTGGAATGTGTATGTGCTGTCGTTTGTCTCATTTTTCCATCCACACTTTCATTAGGACGATAGAATTAAAGTGCTGTAGTGTCTCTGACCCCCCACCGAACTCCATGAGTGGAGTTAGAAGCCGTCTGCTCTGAGCGCCCTGTATTACTCTCATGGTAGAAGTGCTGTAAAGGAAACGGGACTTTTTATTTATAAGGGTTGATTACAGTGACACTTCTAAAGTGCACATGAATTTTCTAGTAAAACTTGTGTTTCTGGCCTTGGAGCTGCTGTAGTTATGCATTTGATTATAGCGCCACTTTGTGGTCAAATCTGGAAGATCAGATTCAGGTCTAAATTCAAGCATTCAAGATAGTGTGCAACGCAGGTGTAAACCCATTCTAGACTGAAAACATGCAAGAGAGGAAGACGGGGAATATATTTTGGTGAGAGTATCTGATATTAGAAATTGTTTATATACTTTTGTTGTAACATGCTGCACATTTCTACAGTTATTAGAAGTAGACATTTTACCATTAATTAAAACATGTTTCATTAATTAATTCAGCTCCACAATATTGCACCACAAGCATGTAATTTATTACTTGCTTTATTTACTTTCAACACAATTATACACAATCTTTGTTTTTATCCACCACACATGGTGGGTCAGTATAATCGAACAGGTCAGAAACTGGAAGAACATACATGATGCAAACTTTCTATGGCAACAGTAAAACCTTGAACAATTGTTTGATCAAAGGTTTTCCAAAGCTCATGAAACATTGCATGTGAGCAATTAAAATAGGTCTGCTAAAAACACCACTAAACTAAAGCACAGATGGAACAAATACCAAGTAGAAAAAGCTGCAATATGCTTCTAAGAAAAGGAGCAAATAAAAAAGCAGAAAATAAACTAAAAAGCATTTTTATAAGATAATTAGTACAACAGCTGTATGATACTGTACACTGTATGCATGTCAAATCTGACAGTAACCAATATCATTGTTGTGTTCTCTAATATCTGCTATGAGGATACAGTAAGCAAGGTGTTTGGTTTTGGTTTTATATGCACACTAACACAAACTATACATTTTATTCAGGTTTACTCTAACTGAGGTGTTTGGCTTGACAGCTTGGTGAGTGGTGGTCTTAATGCTTCAGTCTTTTGAGCTATATCTACATTCATAATTCATGTCCAGAGTCATTTCTCTATTATTATTATGCTAATCAATGTAACCATGGGACCAACACTCTTGGCCACTGTTGCTATGGAAATATAGGACACTAGAGGTGTGTCAAGTCTTTGTGACAGTCCAGGTAATAAATTCCGCAATAATGCAGAGACAGAGATATGATATGAAATTTGATTAGTCATGGCTGGAGGTTCTCAATGTGTGTGTGCGCGGGCATGTGTGTGTGTATTTTTGTGTTCCATGCAATACTGACATGAAGAAGTTATATGCAGATAGTCAAAATGACATGCTTAGAGTGGTTTGTATGTGTTGAATATATCTATTTAAATACCACTCTGTAACACATATTTTACCTCACATTTTTGCTAGAGACAGGCTGACTGCGATCAATGCAACACACACTCATAGTCTGTCACTTTGGTGTATACGAGGGGACCCGCACATGTAGGGTTAAGGTTTAATAAGTTATATAGATAGTAATCTGTTCACGGCAACAGACTGGGAGTCACAGGATGGTGGGGTGAACTGTGGACTCTTGGAGCAGCACAGTGGTGATGATAAAGGAACACCAGAGCCTCTTGAGGATAAGTGTTCTAGCCCTTCACAAATCTACGTCTCTCAGACACCCGGAGACAGAAACAACACTTGAAATGTGGCCTCCCAAATGCCACAGAGGAGAGGAGGATGGGTCGGCATCAGCTTGCAAAGAAGCTCGCAATGGGAGGCAGCTTGAGACAGGCTGAACCCCTTATATTCACAAAGTCAAGGAAAACAGAGAAACAGAAGAGTAGCCAAAAAGACACAACAGACAGTTACCAAACAGTGTTTTCTGTAATACAACACAGTGAAATAACAATAAGCTAAACATGTATTTAGAATAAACTTCCTTAAATACAGTAAATCCCACTACTACCAGAATACAGCCCTGGTCAGGAAATAGGTGTAAAATAATAATTTGCTAAATATTATCTGAGCAGGTTTTATGCTCTGAGATGACATAAAAACATGAAGCTGAGCCACTATTCAGCACTGAATAATTGTTGAATAATTTAGAATTGTGCAGACCCGCATTTTTGATAGAGCAGTTACTGTAACAACTGTAACATTATTACATGATAAACATAAATAATGGTAAATAAACTGTGACAAATAAAAGTTCCCAACAGAAATTCAGTCCAGTAGAAACAGGCATATAGTGATATTACTTTGTATAATACTATACACTGTAGAAGTCTCTATACATCTTAGCAGCACTTTGGTTAGAGGCTGGCTCTGTATATCAACCGAGCCAGTACCATTAATGTAAAATAAATTATGAATGTAGCTATAACGAAGCAGCGAGTGACACAATACAAAATATTTGCCCGCTGACTGAACACTGTTCACATTTACATTTGATAAATTTCTATCACAAATAAAGTTGGTTGCACGTTAAATCAAACTGCCGAACACAAGAATCAATGGCACAGACAATTCATTACATTGTGTCTGAAAAAAAAAAAAATCATATTATTCACAAGTCACATTTAGATTTTCAAAACTAAATGACACTAAATATAACCCTAACCTTCTGACTATACAGTCTCTTTGCCCATTTTCTATACAGTTATTTACAGTCAAAACACTCTCCATAGAGGATTACCTGCAAGAGCTACAGGAACAAAAACTGAGGAATGATAAGGTTGCCAACAACAGCATGTTGTTTTACAGCATATGAGCACACACTGTTGTTATTATTACACAATACAAGGCTATGGAAACTTGGCACAGGCCCTCTGCTGTAAACTATGTATATAATCCTAGGTCCAGGGTAAATTCATGTCACCCAGCGGACCACTTGCAAGTGGGCGTTTGTCTCCCTTTTACCTCACCTCAGAGTCAATACACTGAGAGCAACAGTCAAACAGATTTCATTTTCATTTACAGCACAGAACAAACAGTTGTATGAACTTCTGGTTATGTTATAATGGATTTGTTTACAGCAAGGGAAACCCATCAATGTGTCAAAGGCAGATAGAAGAACAGTGCAGTTCATGTTTTTATATTTAATATCTGTTGGTGCTTTGTCCCTTAACAAGGGACATGTTCCTCTGTGAACTCATTGTTTAATATTTAATCATGTCCTCTCCCTCTCCGATGTGACCTTACAGATGTTGATAAGAGCTGACTGTTATTAGTTTTGAGAGAGATGGCTGTCCGTATGAGTGAGTACCATCAACATCCTCTCAGATGCTGGTCTGCAGGTCGCCATTCAGCAGAGTACTTTGGGTTTCTGTGGGGTCATTCATCATGCGAGACTTATCCTGTCGGCTGTCGCTACGCTCAACCTCATCCAGGCCACCCACCTTCTTAAGACATAGAACATTCTGGAAACTCTTCTTGAAGTTCTCTGACAGGAAGGCGTAGAGGATGGGGTTGGCGCAGCTGTTGGCGTATCCTAGAACGACCACAAAAGCAAAGGTGCTCCTCAGGATGGGAGTGGTGCTGATGGAACCCGTCACCGAGGTGACGTTGAAAACATAGAAAGGTAGCCAGCAGAAGACAAACACTGCCACCACAATGGACACCATCCGAGTCACCTTCCTCTCTGAGCGCTTCCTCTTGGACGAGCCCACACGGATGCCTGAGGACTTCACCTTAATGATGATGAACAAGTAGCAAAGGCAGATGACCATGAGCGGCAGGAAGAAGCCAAGGATGAAGGTGTAGAACATGAACGCTGTGTAGTAGGCCTCTTGAGGCTCAGGCCACACAATGGTGCAGAAACACCCGTCGTGCTTCGTGATGAGGCCGCTGTAGATAACGATGGGCAGGTTAACCATCAGCGACACCCCCCACACTGCTATGTTTATAGTCTTGGCCATGCGTGGCTTGCGCCACTTTGTGGACTTAATGGGATGCACCACAGCCAGGTAGCGGTCGATACTCATGACCATCAGGCAGAAGATGGATGTGAACTGGTTCAGGGAGTCGACGGTCATCACCACCCTGCAGAGCACAGGACCGAATGGCCAATGGACTAGCGCCAGCTGGATGGCGATGAATGGCAGGCCCAGCATGAAGAGCACATCTGCCACTGCCAGGTTGAGGATGTAGATGTTGGTAACTGTCTTCATCTTGGCATAGCGCAGGATGACATAGATGACAAGGGCGTTTCCACAGAGCCCCACAGTGCAAACAAGAAAGTACAGGCAGGTGATGACCACCGTGCTGGTTTTGTTGAAGCTGTGGTCTGTGTAGTTCCCACGGAGGTCGGACTCATTGCCCTGCACGAAGCTGTCATACATGAGGTGCTCCGACAGGTTTGGAGGGGATGATGGGAAGATCCAGGAGTCCATGATACTTTACTGTCTCATGTGGATTATGGCATCTCACCTGCACACATAGACTTACATTAAAATTTGCTTTTCACAGTGATTTTTACGGTTCTGACAGTTATGGTCTAGTTGGCATAGAATAAAAAAGTAATTCCACTTGATATGGATTTTGATATTGATTTTATGCTTTACAGAAGAAAAAAAGTCAGATCCACAGTCATCGTCTTCATCAATATTGATTGTGAACTCTGTTCCTTCCTCTATTCAGACCACTTGCTGACAGATGTTAGTCCACTGAAACATTTCCTCTGAATGTAATGAATGGCTAGCATATGGCGTTTTTGCATTGCACCACTGTGCGCATGAGTGATGAGCCACAATAAAATAATCTCTGTGATGTCATTAATCCGTTATCAGTCAGAACAGAAGCTTTTAATTTCAGCACTATTGGACGTAAAGTATATTTACTTGCGTCCTTTTGAAAGAAATGTGTTTTTTCTAATTACCTGTATGTCCAACGGTGTCTCAGAGGATTGTATTGATTTTATATCTGAATTCTCTTTCTTGAGAGCAGACCTGATTGATAGCATCTGTTAAAAGGAGCACCATGGGGTCTTAGGCAGTGCTTTCTACCTGAAGGAGAGAAATTCCTTGTGTGTTTACTTGGTCAGCCACTGCTACCAAGGGAAATCACTCTGCACACCCCTACAGTCATAAACTTTCCCTGGGGAAATGCTTACCCTTCACATGATCAGCTGCGATAGGTTACGCTAAATTCTCTGCTGACACATTTTTCAATTTATTAGGGGGTGGGCATGGATGTAAATTAATCCCAGCCTAAGTAATTGAACGAGGGGAATCACTGTACTGCCAATTGCCTCGCCACAGTCAGATTGAAGTGCTTGTCAGTGCCAATGCACAGGAGGCAAACATGGTCTGACAACTTAGTTTGGTGCCAATAACATAAGAGGTTTCATTATGCCAGTTTATCATTTTCACCATGGCAGCAGGGTAGGGTGGACTCTGCCTGGAGTCTTGTTTTTGGTGAATAGGCGACCAAATGTTTGAGCTCAGTGAAAACAGAGCCTATTTGTCCATAAATGTGCATTGTCTGAGTCAGGTGAATGGACAGAATATTGTGTAATGTAACAGTTGGAAACCCATTGGGAGAAACATCTTTTGTTTGTGTTGCATAATAGAAGCATAAGATGGTTTATTATTCCCACAGAAACAGACCACTGAGATAAACCATAATACACCCTTGAAGCACTCACCGATCACTGTTGGTATAATATTTTGTCACTATTAAGAAATATTTCTTGTGAACTTTGCTTGTGAGCTGTATATGAGGCACTGCACATACACTGTGCAACAGGTATTCTGTCTGTAAAAGAACAGCCCAGAGCCAGCACAGCTAAAAGGAGGCGAATAAGGTTTGCCATCAGAACAACTGGTAAAATACAAAATTCCATGTGGTATTTTTTCTTCCTCACTGCTCAAGGCCATGGATTCTGCTCGAGAATTTTTCTTTTAGTGGCTTAAGGTGGATACTCAGCTGAATAAATACATACTCATAGTTAATCATGCAAATCCAGCTTAAGGAAAAATAAAGTGAGAATGAGGTCAAGTCAGGAATTTAATTCATATTGTTAGCAACTCTGCCAGCCGAGGATTTTGTGGTATTAAATCACATTTTGTTTCAATACACAAGCAAGAAAATCACCATTTTATTAATTAACAGCAACGCTGCAGACTAGGGAAACAGTGAGACACCGCAGTGAACTGAGTGCTTAAAACATGTTATTTAGAATTGATCAACTTAATTTGAATAGAAAACAATCACATTAACCTGGTAATGTTGCCTTTGCACATCCACTGACATGTGCATCTGTGCCAAAAAGTCAACAAAAATATCATCTTACCTGTAACTAGATTTAATCTAGTCACAAAATACGCCACTTCTGCACGGATGAAAGTATTTCAGGGTTTATGGTAGATCTTCATCTTCAAATATTCCTCAAGTTTGTCTCACCGGCATCGAAGTGGAAAACCTGCCAATTTCTCTTTTAATAATCCCATACTGTTTCCTGCATTACATACGAGGAGAAAGGGGGGAAAAGAAGGTCGGACAAGTAAATTGCATACAAAACGCCACTTGCTTGGCTCTGGTCGAAGCTCCGATGCGCCCGTGGTGTGATGCGCGCTGTGTCTCCAGCTGGAGTGCGCGGATATGTTAAAGGACGCACACGAGCAGCGTACGAGGAGGTGCTGAAGAGACTCACCTCTGAACGACAGAGAGGCTGTCTCCTGTGATTCAGACATCCCGTTCTGCATACATATGGAGCCGAGTTCAACAGAGTACACGTTTTAATGGCATCTTAATGAGATTGGAGTGAAAGCCGCGAAGCTCTTGTTGAACATGTTGATAAGGTGGAAATTAAGTGGACACCAACACTTTAAAAAAAAAGAAAAAGTCAATTTACACTTAAAGCCGCTAAGAAACACAGTGGGTCCTTTGGGCACGTCAGGATCGAGTTGCAACTTTTCTTTCTAATAATTCAGCACTAAAAAGCTGGATCCGGGGTTTTGGCAAAATTCGATGGTAAGAGATGAATACAATTGACAATGTGTTGTAAAACACTGGGAATGGTCTCTATAATTATTTTTCCCTCGACGATATGGACTTTCAAAATGTAATCAAATCAAATCAATCAAAAATAATGACCAAATAGCCAAATTTATGCACGCTTTGAGGTCCATTTATCAAAGTTATAGATGGAATTCAAATGTTCCCACTGTTTCTGCAGTGTTCCCACAAATGAGTCTTCTGGACTTTTGGGTAAATTACAAAGTGAATGTATCCTCCTGATACAGGACAGTCATATTACCCCGATGCCACTGGTGGCCACAGGCTTTTTCTGCCTACTCGACGCTCCCAACGTCATCTTCAATTTAACTTCCAGCCACCAGAGGCAGCACTGAGCGCAGAGACGCAGAGCAGCACTGATATTACGCATGGGGAATCTCCCACACAATCCATGCGTTTCATTGATTCGCCAGTGATTCACCTGTAAGATAAAAGTATAAAACTAAGTATGTGTAGAGGAATGTATGCCACTTCTGTGTTGTGGTGGTTGGAGAATGCCCTCTTCCTGTTGGCTGCAGCCTGGCCTGGGGGTTTCTGGGTCTCCTCCAAACAATTGATCATGATGGCAACGAGACAAACCCAAATCTCCATTAGATCCCTTCTTGAGGGCAGTCTAAACTGCAGATAAGGTAACTTTTATGATCCCTCAAACTAGTATACAGATGTGTGTTATTATCATTATGCAAATGCAATCTAAAGTTTTGTAGTCAAACTATATGTGTGAACAGTTTTGAGAGCAAAGAGAAAGTTGTGATGTAGGCTATCATGTTGTTTATAAGTTCTGTCATGCTAAGCTTATAAACAACATAGACACATTTGCTATGTGTGTGTGTGTGTGTGTGTGTGTGTGTGTGTGTTTGTGTTTGTGTTTGAGCAGCAGTTGCTCTTCAGAATGTTGTAATGTGTTCTTCTTCTTATAACCCATGGCAGCGTCTGTCAACTAAGTGACACTCTCGTGGCAAAGAGGGGTTAAAAGAAAAGCAAATAATACACTGCAAACAAGAGACTGTTTGTTTTGTTTTCATGTAATGGTCAGATATTATAAATGAATCCACCCCCCCCAGTCATATTAATACTCACATTCCTCGAGGCACAGGCCGAGGAGGTGGAGTAGCAGCTATATATGATTCGAGCGTTTTAATGGACCCTAAACCTAAACTAAGTTATAATTCATTTGAAAGCCTTGTTCTTAGTCTTTCTCACCCAAACTGGAAAACACTGCAGCCAGTTCTATTTGTTATAGTGTACCGCGCTCCTGGACCGTACTCTGACTTTATATCTGAATTTTCAGAGTTTCTATCAAGCTTAGTCCTTAAATCAGATAAAGTAATTATTCTAGGTGATTTTAATATTCATGTGGATGTTGACAATGACAGCCTTAGTAATGCATTTATATCATTAATAGACTCAATTGGCTTCTGTCAGAGTGTAAATAAACCAACTCATTGTTTTAATCACACTCTTGACCTTGTTCTATCATATGGCATTGATATTGAACATTTAATAGTCTTCCCACATAATCCTTTCCTATCTGACCATTATTTAATAACTTTTGAATTCATACTATTAGATTATAAGCCATTAGGCAAAACTTCCTACAGCAGATGTCTATCTGACAGTGCTGTAGCTAAATTTAAGGAGGAGATTCCTTCAGTGTTTAATTCAATGCCATGTCTGAATTTAACAGAGTCCTATAACAACTTTAGTCCCTCTGAAATTGATAATCTTGTCGATAGTGCTACAGGCTCACTACGATCAACATTAGACTCTATCGCTCCTATAAAAAGGAAATTATTAAAACATAGGAGACTAGCACCTTGGTATAACCACCAAACCCGCCAGTTAAAGCAAATAGCTAGGAAATCTGAAAGGAAATGGCGCTCTTCCAAATTATCAGAATATCGCTCAAATTGGCAAGATGATCTTAAGATTTATAGAAAGGCCCTCCGTAATGCCAGAGGAGCCTATTACTCAGCACTAATAGAAGAAAATAAGAACAACCCTAGGTTCCTCTTCAGCACTGTAGCCAGGCTGACAGAGAGTCACAGCTCTATCGAGCCACATATCCCCATAAACTTAAGTAGCAATGACTTCATGAGCTTCTTCTATAATAAAATTATTATTATTAGAGAAAAAATTAATCACCAACTGCCATCAACAGTTATCAGTGGCTCTCCAAGTTCAGGGACTTCTGTCAATGTAAACTTAGATGTATATTTAGACTGTTTTTCTGCTATCGATCTTCATCAGTTAACTTCAATCATTTCTTCATCGAAGCCATCAACCTGTCTGTTAGACCCGATCCCAACTAGGCTGCTTAAAGAAGTTGTTCCCTTAATTGGCACTTCTTTACTGGATATGATTAATCTTTCTTTATTATCAGGATATGTACCACAGTCCTTTAAAGTAGCTGTAATTAAACCCCTTCTTAAAAAGTCTACTCTTGACCCAGGGGTTTTAGCCAACTATAGACCGATTTCTAACCTCCCGTTCCTCTCTAAGATTCTGGAGAAAGTAGTCGCCAAAGAGTTGTGTGACTTTCTACATAACAATAGTTTATTTGAGGATTTTCAGTCAGGATTTAGAGTTCATCATAGCACAGAGACAGCTCTGGTTAAAGTTAATAATGACCTTCTGACTGCTTCTGACAATGGACTTGTCTCTGTACTTGTATTATTAGATCTTAGTGCTGCATTTGACACCATTGACCATGATATTCTTTTACAGAGACTTGAGCATCAAATTGGCATTAAAGGAACTGCCCTAACCTGGTTTAAGTCATACTTATCAGATCGTACTCAGTTTGTACATGTTAACGATGAATCCTCCATAAATACTAAAGTTAGTCATGGAGTTCCACAAGGTTCTGTACTTGGACCAATACTATTTACTTTATATATGCTCCCTTTAGGCAACATTATTAGGAATCACTCCATTAACTTTCACTGTTATGCAGATGATACGCAGTTATATCTATCAATCAAACCCAATGAAATTAATCAATTATCTAAATTACAAACATGTCTTAAGGACATAAAATCCTGGATGACCTGCAATTTTCTGATGTTAAACTCAGAAAAAACCGAAATTCTTGTTCTTGGCCCCAAAAACCTTAGAGACTCATTGTCTAAAGATATAGTCACTCTAGATGGCATTAACTTGGCCTCTAGCACCACTGTCAGGAATCTTGGAGTTATCTTTGATCAGGATTTGTCATTTAACTCCCACATAAAGCAGACCTCTAGGACTGCCTTCTTTCATTTACGTAATATTAGAAAAATTAGACACATACTATCACAGACAGATGCAGAAAAACTAATCCATGCATTTGTTACTTCAAGGCTGGATTACTGCAACTCTTTATTATCAGGTTGCCCCAATAAGTCCATTAAAACGCTCCAATTAATTCAGAACGCTGCAGCACGAGTACTGACAGGAACTAGAAAAAGAGATCACATCTCTCCTGTACTAGCTACTCTGCATTGGCTCCCTATAAAATGTAGAATTGAATTTAAAATACTCCTCCTCACCTATAAAGCTCTTCATGGTCAGGCCCCTTCATATCTTAAAGAGCTCATAGTACCCTATTACCCCACTAGAACACTACGTTCTCTGAATGCTGGGCTACTTGTGGTTCCTATAGTCTCTAAAAGTAGAACAGGAGCCAGAGCCTTCAGTTACCAAGCTCCTCTCCTGTGGAACCAGCTTCCAGTTGTGGTTCGGGAGGCAGACACCGTCACCACTTTCAAGAGTAGGCTTAAGACATTCCTCTTTGATAAAGCTTATAGTTAGGGCTGGATCAGGTGAGTCCTGAACCATCCCTTAGTTATGCTGCTATAGGCCTAGACTATCGGGGGATTTCCCATGGTGCACTGAGCTACTCTCTTCCTCTCTCTTTCTGCACTCGTTCATGTCCCTTTAATGCATGTTACTACCTCCACTTCTTCCCCGGAGTTCTTGTGCTTTCTCGTCTCGCAGGTTCTCATGGATCCTGGTGGAGCCTCCTGCCATGGTCCTGCTTGACTGCCATTGCCAATACTGTTGTTGCTGTGCACCTGTCTGTCTGTCTGTCGCTCTCTCTCTCTCTCTCTCTCTCTCTCTCTCTCTCTCTCTCTCTCTCTCTCTCTCTCTCTCACCCCAACTGGTCGAGACAGACGACCACCCACCTAGAGCCGGAGGATCTGTCCTAGGTTTCTGCCTTTTAACAGGCAGTTTTTCCTTGCCCTTGTCGCCAAGTGCTTGCTCATGGTGGTACTGTTGGGTCTCTGTAATTAATGTTAAAGAGTTCGGTCTAGACCTGCTCTATTTGAAAAGTGTCCTGAGATAACTTCTGTTATGAATTGGCGCTATACAAATAAAATTGAATTGAATTGAATTGAATGTAGGCGTTCAAAATCATATGCGTCATCTTCTGTAACCTAAAATTATGGCTTCAACCTCTGGACCATTTGTCTTCTGGAGTTTCACAGGTGTTGCACATATATACGGCATCATATGTGTTTGTTTATTTAATTACCAGTTGATATGCTATGTCCCATGAACACAGCTTTTTGGTTTCATCAAACCACAAAGTTTCCGATCTGTACAGCTGCTGTGACTTTTATGTAATCTGATGACTTAATGACAAATTCAAGCTGGAAGTCTCATCTACCTGTAAGAAAACATCTGCTCAGCCGTCACTGCAAACCCCTCCCATTAAAAGTCCATATACATTAAAAGTCAAAAAGTCCGTCACACAGCTTCATCACCTCTGTAGGGATGGTGAAGTTGCCAAATTTGGAAGCCTCCAAGAAGCCTCCATCACTGCAGTTACCACGGGTGTGGAGTGGGTTATGTAGTGGAGGCAAATGAAGCCTTTATGTAAAGCAGCTGAGAGACAAGTCAGCTTCTTTTGACAAACAGCATGTTCTTATCCCTGACCTATTAACAGATCCTTATTAAGTTGAAAAGCAGTAATACGTTTAACATTGATTTATGCCTCATTTTCTGACAGTATTGCCATCATACAGCTTCCTGTCCAGCCCTGCCATGTCTCCATGTCTATTAAAGGACGTGTGTGCTAATAAGGTCAGTTGTAAATTTCATAAATAACAGTTTGGGGAAATTAAGGTAC